AACATTTTCGCCGCCGTTAGGCAGATGATAGGTATATCCTGGGTGATCCTTTGTTGTATTCTTTTGTTTATTCCACAGAGGTTCTTGAACAAGAACCACGTCGATACCCAGCTCAAATGCTCGGGCAAGCGCAATGTTTTGCGTTGAGCCCCCTCTACCTACGTTTATTGACATAAAGCTTAGAGTAGGAGAGAGGCTTGAAGAGTCCCGTGGGGTGCCCTTCACAAAAATGTTTGCTGATTTGATGCCTCATCGACCTCGGCTACAGTCGCTGTAGCGTCAGACATGAGAACTTCAAAACAGTTGCTCGATTTAAATACTGGCTGGTTAGTATTTGACGCTTCTGCTGCTGCTTTCATCGCTGCCTCTGTGCGTTTGACAGCTGCTTTGGCCCGAGTAACTGCCGCGAATTCGCGTTGGCTAGCCTGCCTGATGGTCTGAAGCTTTTCCTTGGAGGCCATTCCAGACTTTGTTGGACGAGCTAGACAGTCCCGACTATCTGAACTGTGTGGACCTCCACAGTTGCGGCACTTGGTGTGTGCCTTGCACTCCGCGATGGAATGCAAAGTTGAAGCACAATTCCAGCAGGCTGGGGCGCGCGAGCAGCCTCTCGTGCCATGGAATTGTAGGCATCTTTTGTACTGGTTGATGCTTTGACGAGGCTGGTGGCGGACTACAATCCCAGAGTCGTCGAAAAGTCGGAAGCCTGGCCGAGGGATCGATGATTTTTCGAAAAGGGCTACCCATGACTGGTATGGGGCGCCCGGTCGGCTTTTCCCGTGTGGGCGAACTTTTACCGGGACAGCCTTGGTGACCATGACTATCTCGTCTGTTACCATCTCTTCAGTGACGATTACTCTACCCATTATTGTATTAATGGCAACTGGGACTGTTGCGATTCTAAGTGAGCCCAGGTCCGATGCTTCTTCCAGTATGGCATCTTGCTGGATGAGGGACCCAGCTAGGCTTAATATGATGGCGCGTGCCTCTTGGTTTTCGGCTCTAATTGCGAAGCCAGTTGTAACACGGTATACGTGCTCAATATTGGCTTGAGGAATTTCAAGCACTTTTGCCACAGCCTCTCTAACACCAAACGGTGATAGCTTTCTCCAAGGGTGTTCATTTCCTAGGCGAAGAAACAAGCGTTCATCTTTCATGGCTGATTGCGTTGGGGTGGTCGGGTTTCTTGACGGCCGCGTCGAGTTTGCCGCCTTTGGCATAGCCTGTGCGACTTTTGTAGCTGCCGGGGGAGTCTTTATACCGGTGCGGGTGATTGACGCCCAAGTAGTTTTGGCCTGGGAGACTTTGTCATGAGTCACTTTACTTTGTGGCTCATCCTGCTTTTTGGCAGCACGTTCTATAATCTTGCTGCCAGTAGTCTGACTTTCGGGGCGTGGGGGAAGTGATGGGAGGACTGTACCTGGTCCCGCGATCATGAATTGAGCTATTGCAGCTCTAATGTAGACTTTCATAGAGTCTATAAATTGAACACTCGACCCTTTGGATAGGGGGGAGAGAGCGTTCTCGACACCGTTGATTGCAGCGGTGCAAATTTTTACATTTTCCGCAGTTTTTGCGGCCCGGCGTTCCTCAGCCTCAATTAAGGCTCTGAGTTCAGGGGGGCATTCCTCCGTCTGCCTGCCTTCATTTCCACCGTACGGAGAAGGATTCTCTTCTGTGGTTCCTGGTGTATGTTCCAGGGGGTTCGGGGTAGATGCTGCACCTTTTGCCTTGTTAGCATCTGCAATCGCAGCCCGCCTCATAGCCGGCACATCGACTTCAATGAGAGGAAGTATATGCTGTCCGGTAGTCGCTGTCCCTAAATTGTTGCGACTCGTCGCTTCATTTTCAGCTCCGGTTGCATCTGGCTTGGAGTGAGTTGAGTTAGGTAGTCTTTTCAGATTCTTAAGAATCTTGTCAATGTCAAAGTTGCCAACATCTATCATATTGCAATCTATGGTACTTTCGTCGATTAATTGGTCGATGTTCATCTCATGAACGGCAGTCATTGGGCCCAACTTGACGCCTGCTTTCTGTCGAGCAACGTGTTTGAGGTGCTTGCGGTTATCTACGATGTCTTTCGCCCGCGATGGCTTACTGCGAACTGGGGGCATATTGGTAGCCTGCCAGTCGCTCACAAATTTTGAATTAAGGGCGTACGATATCACGATATCGAGAGAGGGAGGGAGAGGGGGAAAGGGTGAATATTCGAATTTCAAAAAATTGTGGGTTTTGTTTTTTTTGTGCTGCTTGAGTCACAGACTATCTAGCACATTGGGCTCCTCTCTGACCCAGGCCACACCTTGTACAGTGCTCTTATCCTCTTTTGTTACTTGAAAGATCATTGATATATTCCCCTTGATGAATAGCCATTCAGCTCAGTATTTACCCGTGGAATTCAGCCACCTTTTCCACGGAACCTTCTACCTAAAAAATATAAAAATGGTAGCAATGGAAACTGCGTGCGCGGGAAAAAGTCTCAAAAAAACCTGCAGCCCCAGCCAGGCGAGGCCTAGACACCGGGACCACATGAGGTGCGCATATTCATCTAGATCTCCCTTCTTTGTAACAGTCGAGGCCGACTTGATCCAATCCACCATCTCCGTATCGGGTGCTGGGTACGCTCCGGAAACTCATAGGATGGCTTTTCCTCCGTGATCAAGGTTTGGTGATGAGTAGAGCTCCGACCCTACCATCTGATCTGATCGTGGTTAGCTTCATGATAATGGTGATAGGGGAATGTGTTGAGAGATGAAGACGATACAGACCGCGAAAGCGATTGGGAATCCTCTTCGAAGTGAGAACTTTGTTACTCAATCTCGGCTCTGCAGACTCTACAGTGAGAGCTGGAGGTTCGTAGGGGACACCGCTGACAGGTGTTAAGAATAGTCCCCTTACAGCTCGCTGTAGTTACTCCTATTTCTCCTTCCATAGCCAATCTATCTTACATTCCTAAGGCTGCCTCTCTACCATTTTCATACCTCGTGATTAGCTCGGATTAACTTTTCAAAATTTTAAAGACTAGCTAGGTATCAGACAACTAACCATTCGAGCAAACGACAAATGAAGTAAAGTTACAGGACGACAAGCAATATACCCGATTAGAATATGGGGAAGTGTCAGGAGCAAGGACAAATGGAGCTATCAAGAAGGCCACATTGATTCACAAGTTACTATAAATTATGTAAATATATTTACTCCGGTAGTTAGTCGAAGAAATGTGCTCCACAGCCTTAATAACTATGGTGTTTTTGTTTCCTCATTATTTAACCCCAACTCCATCTCAGATATCAATACGTGACGGAGATCCGCTACCAGGCGCAATTCTGTTTTCGATCACTGATCTCGTTGTCTTGTCTTGTTCATTTACGTGCTAGGTAAAGTGATTCCCGTTGCACTCCTACTGGAGCTTAAGCACGGGTAGGGCCGGGCTGGATCAGGTTAACTACCATCAAGTACATCTACTTAGTCCCACCTAAATGACCGGACCACCTCAGACTTCACCCATGTGTTGAATCATGTCAAGCCCAGCCGTCCAGAGAACCCCCTTTTGGCGCGCCCAAGCGCAAATTCCTCCTCAGGCTCGGCCACCAGGCGCCCGAGCCCTTGACACCTTCGCCATCTGCAACTTTCCCTTCGATTCATTCGCAGCTTTGGCTCATCTCAGCATCTCCTCATCTAATCCAGGAGTTGTTTTCTCCACTGGAGGCGACTGATCTCGTTGCATTGACCTCCCGAAAAAAGCGCGATCACCGAGAAACACGCTAAGCCGATAGCGAAAGATTCGCATGGATACGAAGTGTTCTATTTATTTTGTCTCTACTGCGCTTTGTGGCAGTGCTAATTGATTGGTCCATTCCCAAACTGTGAGTGATTCTTTTGTCTTAGAGACACTCATGAACTATTATTTCCAAATTAGGATTGTACCCTATCAGCAAGTACTGGGTACACAAAAAGTATCGACTCATCCAGCCACTTTAGATGTGGTTAACGCTGGGTATTTAAGGTCCCGCTCATAGGCAGCTGGCGTTCTACTGTGTCCAAATTTTTTTTGGGACTTGGCCCTCACAAGCAATTTTTGACTCGTGTTAATTGGAAATATATAACTGTAGCTAGCGGACGCTTAAATTTATATACTTGGGCTAAGATCTGTCCTCGTGACTCTAACCTGGAGCAATTTATGCCGGATAGAGACAGATATCCCAGCTGCGATTACCTCCATTTTAGTAGGTTCAGGGTACGTTCAAAGGAGAGATTGGGTTCATGCTTCTCGACGATCAGAGCTGGGGCAGTCAGGGGCGGATTGAATCCTCCTAGGCGAATCAGCAGGAAGTACCATGATGGCCACGCGATTTAGGCAATCTTCTGACCCGAGCTCTGAGATATCGGGCATGCCGCAGGACTGGTAGAAGAATTTTTATCACACAAAGAGTGCCGGCTGACTGGTTGATAAACAGGAGAATAGGGATTATTTATTTGGACACTGAGCTTACCTGTGATCAATAACCATTGTCGTTGCGTAGCTGGGAGCTATCCGACAGGACGGGGAAGATTGCGTCTTGTTGAGATCTTCAGGCCCGTGCTCTAGCTCCAGCCTGATCTCAGACGGGTGGAGCCCATCATGCTGAGCTGGTTTCACCACCGCATGCTACCTAGCCGTTTAAAGAAGGAAGTGCCTAGCGCTGCAGGCGTAAACATTCATTCATATACAATTTTACAGGCAGAACCCCGACGATGCGACATCTGTAGACCAGTTTAACTACTTATTGGTAGTCTATGGGCACAGAAAGCACCATTCTAGCCAGCCACACTGACTCTCACATGTTCCGAATAGGCCAAATTCATTTCGACCTCAGGCAAGAACTTGGGCGATCCCAGACGAGGAACATGAGTGCTACAATACTACTCGACCAGGTCACCCAATGGACGAATACTAACATATATTTGTCGGTTCCGCTCGTAAACCTCGGAGTTTAAAATCCCACAACCATCTGAAGAAGATGCGTCTTCTATACATCTGCCTCGTGGTTGGTGCCAAAGCTCAGTCCAACGATATCCTTGGCTATGTTGACCAGCTCATTGGGAGCAGTAATGGAGGTAAGAAATCCAATCGTCGATGCGTACCTCCTGGAGCTTACCTCGCTAAATATCACAGGAAATGTCTTTGCTGGGGCTACTTTGCCGTACGGAATGGCCAAAGGTGCGAGATACGTTGTGTACGTGGCGAGCGGAAGAGACTAACTTTATCATGAAAGCGGTTGCTGATACGGACTCTCCCTCAAATCAAGGTGGTTTCACCTTGGACAACAGTAACGTAACTGGATTCTCATCTTTGCACGATTCTGGAACTGGTGGGAGTCCATCTCTTGGCAACTTTGCTCTATTTCCCTTCTCTGGCTGTGCGGGAGATGATGTTAATGGCTGCATATATCCAAAGAATCAGAGGAAGACGACTTTCAATAACGCTTCCCTGAAAGCAACTCCGGGCTATTTTGGCCTTGAACTTGCATCCGGTGTCAAAGTGGACATGACGACATCTCAACATACGTCGCTCTTCCGCTTTCAATTTCCGCCGGGAAACATGAGCGAGAGTCCTCTAATATTAATGGATCTAACGGATCTATCTAACTCCCGGCAAGACAACGGTTCAGTTTCGGTGGACCCATCAAACAGTCGGATGATGGGCAAAGCTGAATTCAAGCCAAGCTTTGGGATTGGATCATATGTGGCCTATTTTTGTGCTGACTTTTCCGGATCAACAATTCGGGATAACGGAATATTTGTCAATAGCCGTGCCAGCACTGAGGTGAAGGATCTTACTATCTCTAGGTCCATCAATGGCTTTCCTCTACCCGGGGGCGCGTTTGTTCGCTTCACCCCAGGCACAACTAATGTTCTGGCAAGAGTTGGGGTCAGCTTCATTAGCAGTGAAAGAGCTTGTAAAAGCGCTGAGACTGAAATTCCTGAATATGACTTTACTAGTACTCTGACTACTGCTGAGAATATGTGGAGGGATAAAATGAGTCCGATAAAGGTAGATTCTACAGGAACTGACATGTCTCTTGTAAAGAATTTTTACTCTGGTATATACAGAACTATGGTTAACCCTCAAGACTATACGGGAGAAAACCCTTTATGGCAGAGCGACGAGCCCTACTTCGACTCTTTTTATTGGTAGCACTAAACCCCTGCACTAGAGAGAAATTCTAACCTTTCCAGTATCTGGGATCTTTTCCGATCGCAAATGCCCTTTTTAACAATCCTGGATCCAGAGTCCATCGCAAAGCAGATCCGATCTCTCATTGACACTTACCGACATGAAGGCTGGTTACCAGACTGCCGAATGTCTCTCTGCAAAGGGATAACTCAGGGCGGCAGTAATGCTGACGTAGTTCTTGCCGACGCGTTCGTAAAGGGTATAGTTGACGGTATCGATTGGAACACCGGTTACGAAGCCGTAGTCAAAGATGCCGAAGTTGAACCTTATGATTGGTGCTGTGAAGGCAGAGGTGGACTTGACAGTTGGAAAAGTCTTGGTTATATACCTGTACAGGATTTTGATTACAAAGGTTTCGGAACTATGACGCGAAGTTTATCAAGAACACTCGAATACAGTTACAACGACTACACTATAGCCCAACTTGGCCTAGGCCTTGGTGGTAGAGAAGCAGACGTGGGAAAATACGTTGAAAGAAGCGGTAACTGGAAAAATTTGTTTAAGCCCGACCAAAAATCCTTCATAAGTAGACAAAACAATGTCTCTAACAGTACTGAGGCAGTAGACACTGGATTCATTGGTTTTTTCCAGCCAAGAAACCTCAATAGCACCTTCTTCTTCCAAGACCCACTGGACTGCAGCAATATTGACAATAATCCTGCTCACACTTGCTCCCTCCAGAATACAGCCCTCGAGTCTTACGAAAGCTCAATTTGGGAATATTCGTTGTACGTAATAAGCCAAAACCCTTACCTTGAATCCACGTCTGACTATATACCTTTTAGTTTCGTTCCACACGATCAGGCTACATTAATATCAATGTTTGGGGGACCTTCTACCTTTGTTAAGCGACTTGACTATCTTCATGATAACAACATCACATATATTGGAAATGAGCCATCATTCTTAACTGTATTCCAGTATCATTATGCAGGCCGTCCAGCACTATCTGCGAAACGTGCCCACTTTTACATACCTGCATTTTTCAAAATTACACCAGACGGACTTCCTGGCAATGATGATAGTGGTGCTATGGGCTCATTTGTTGCTTTTGCCATGATGGGTCTATTTCCAAATCCTGGACAGAATGTATATCTCATAATTCCGCCTTTCTTCCAGAGCGTTTCTATAACCTCCCCTATTACCGGAAAAACGGCCACCATTAAAAATATCAACTTCGATCCTACTTATAATAACATTTTCATTCAATCGGCTACCCTGGATGGAATGCCATATACAAAGAATTGGATAGACCACTCTTTTTTCACAGAAGGGAAAGAACTTATACTTACGCTAGGTCCCCAGGAGAGTCAATGGGGCACTAATATCTTGGACCTTCCGCCGAGCTTAGGACCTTACGAAGGATTTGGAAATTCGTCTGAGAACTCAGTACCTAATCCTCAAACCTCACAGAGCCTCTCTTCGATGGGTATACAGAATCACCAAGGTAGTGCCATAATCCCCGGATCAGGCGTCATGTATTCAATGTGATCAAACCGTCTTGAATAAAATTCGCGAAAACACAAATACTTCATTCTTATCACATTCATTAATCAAGGTAGTTTATTTTCAATTATTAGCAAATTTTTATAAAATTTTTAATTTAGGGAATGGGTTTAATGCAAGTTAAGACCGGAAAAGTTACTGTCACACGCAACATTTACACAAATAAAATTAGTGTACATCTCTAAAATTTCTACCTAAAAACCGACTATCTGTTAACCAAATTTATGTATTATTAGACTTTATAATCAACTTCAATTATGACACCCACCTATTGATTCCAGATTTTAATAGAGAATGTATTGACATGACCCCCAAGTTTCACCTCAAGAGTATTAGTCAAGCTGGTAGATGATCCGTGTCTCAATTTCCTTGAGGTGTCTGCTTTCTCTCAATCTTTACATCAGTTCCCTTCAGTTGACAGAAAGAAGAGAAGTATTATATTAGTCGATGATACCGCGACAAGTGTAGAGAGTGATTTTTGTTTCGCTATGTAGTATCTTTCGTAAGTCTAGCACGGGCTGCACTCTACATTTGCTAACTATATCTAATGTTAAAACACCTGAGCAGGGCCCAGAGCAGCATAGCCATGCAGATAAGAAGCGAACACATTGGGTTCAATTCCTATCTGCACAGAAGAAAAGTTCCAGGAGTAGATAACCCACGATGCCAATGTGGATATCCGTCCCAGAATGTGAAGCATATGATCATGGCCTGTACTAGCTGGGCTAAAGGTAGAGGAGAAATACTAAGAAAGGCAGAGAACCGGTCATTTGAGGCCATGATGAACAATCCCACAGATATGGCAAGGATAACCAGATGGATCCAGCAGGAAGGAAGACTAGAGCTGTTTCGACTGACGCTTGAAGTCGAGGCCACGATGAGGGAGAGAGAGGAGAGCAGGGGAAAGATGATCTCCTGCTAGTAGCAATGAAGTGGACGGTATCCGCACTGGATATAACAGTATTAGTGCACTTTGTGAAGGTAACACAAACTTAAAGTGTATATAAATTGAAAAGTTGAGGGGTTTTTAACACAAAGGTTTCCTCCTAAATAAATATTAGAGTTCGTAGACACCTGCATTTGCCTTAAGGCGCCAAATCGGGCTGAACGAATTCAAATTCAAATACATCTAATGTTAAAGGACCCTAGAGATAGCTGCTCTTGTGACTGAGGCACCCAACCACCTAAACAAAGAAGGGCCCGAGGGACAAGTTGTCAGAGGCTGTATTGGTCTAACATCTGCAAGTAAGGAAAACGCAAATCAACGGTACTAACTGAAGTTACAGAAGATTAGACAGACGATTGAGTTATTGCTACTCTGAGCTTTATACGAAAAGGGGACACAGTCCTGTACGCTATGCTGATGATTTCTCTTTTTTGCATCAGATTTTAATTGCGTATGCAGCTATATAGCTATGACACAATATCAAAGAAAAGTACAGAAAAGATGACTCAATTTACAAGAGGAGCACTCATGCCTCGGATTTCATTTGCAAGTACCACTGCGAAGTTATGGTGGCTTTTTCTTCACCCCAAGTCAACCCTCATTCATGAATACCTACCCAGGGGAACATCTCAAAAACCCTGAGTCATCCAGACAGGCCTCCATCATTCATAAACTTTTATCCGCGCGAAATATGGTCTTTGGTATCTCCTTTTCAAGAGGAAAAGGTGCCAAGGCTACCTAAACTATACCAGAGAGCAACACAAAGAGGCGGACCACAACACCTTCCATCTTTGGCTTTTGTCTATAGTGTCAGCTGCACACTCGCAAGCGAAGTCTTGGCGCACACAAAGCTCAATTCGTAAAACTCTTGCCAAAGTTCAAAATCACACGCTCGTCGAGATTGTATCCATCCTTTGCATCATCTTGTTAAGTTGTCCTGAATCCTCTCACGCCAATCCCAATGAACTGTGTCCCAGATTTGTGCGCCATGCTTTGCTTCTTCCGTCGGGTGTGAATACCGGCGAGCGCGTGTATTTGGTGGCCAGCTTAGGGCAGAGGATAGCTGATGATAGCTGATGAGAGGTGTAGTCATTGAAAGGAGGATGTTTTACTTAGCACCTATTAACTCGAAGTCATTGCGGAAATCGATTTCGTTTGGTGGGAAAAATTGATATGTTGGAAAGACTTGAATCATTGCCTCGTGGGCCAGCTTCTTCGGAACTGCGAAATTAGAGTGAACTTGGCTCTGGAAGAATGTTTCACTCCCAGGTTCGTAGAGGACACAGCGTATAGGTATTCAGTCTATGCCCTCCTGATGATTTCTTGTGTGTAGGTTATCAGATTTTTTCCAAGGATAATCGTGTAGCCGCGGGGGGAGATCTGGAGAATTTCTGTGAAGAGCCTCGTTTGCGCGAGCCACTCGGTAGTATCGGCGGTCCCTTCGAATGTGCTGAAAGTAGAGGGGATGAGATGGCTAGGGTACGTGTGAGGAGGAAGCTCTCCGGGTCTTGGTCGGGTTTTCTTACCCCGAAGTTGTTAAGCGACGACGGGATATTTCCAAATCACCTACGGCGCGTCCCGTAGTACTACGCGACTCGCCCCTAGACGGGAGAAGTCTAAGTTTCTTTCTGAAATCTGCCCTCTACGCACCGCGTGATCCACCAGAGTAAGGAATACGTTGTAAAGCGCTCAAAATATCCTGGGAATAATCACTTGTCAAAGCCTTCCGGCATCCAATCGTACATAAACTTATTTTCTTTTGTAGCAGTCACCACGTCCGCCCCCCCTGGGATGGGGCAATAGCCTTCGCTTTCGCCCGGTAGACAATAAAAAAAGGTCCGAATCACATTATGCTTGTCGCTATGAGTCAAGAGGCTTGCGGGACGTCCCGAAAATCGAGTCTCTATTCCGCCAAGTAGCCAGTTCTAGAAGCTCTTGGCGCGTTGCGAGTCGTTAAGATAGCTGGGAGCGGACAAGGCCACGCTGTACGTACGTACACAGGGGTTAAGAAGTAGCTTACGGTAGCTAGGGACTCAAAGCACGCCTGTTATTAGTATCACATAATTCCTATGCAGTTCGTTTAGTCAGATGTAAGTTGTTCGTTGTTCTCCTACTCCGAACAGGAAACTCCTAATATTACGAGCACGCTAAAACATGATTGTACAGCAAGGATCCCACTAATCTTCTAAACGCAGTGTCCCGTGACCTGGACACACAGCGCTGCCGATGCCGCAGCCTAGAGGCAGCAGACAAAGTTGTGACGGGTCGTGCCGGGGGGGATGACCGCGCTGAAATTGGTTCTGTAACCCAGACCTTCCAATCTGGAGCCTAAATCTACACAGCAATGCAAGTCGTTCAGCCCTTCCAGCGGGCCACCTTTCATCGATATTTCAGAGATTGCACTCTAAAGATATGCGAGGAATCAGGGCAGAGACAGGGTCTCGTACTGACCGTGAGGCCCCGCTTGTGAGGTACGAGCTCCGCGATACAATTCCGCTACTCTCTCTCACGCCCGCGCGTGCACATCTTGATGAGCACGGAAACAAAACAACTCGTAGCCCCACTTTCTGGTCCCATACTCAATCCCAGTGAACAAGCCGAAAGAGAGAGATTCTAAGGTAGATTAGGTAGCCAGTAGTCTTGGATACGTTACACTCTAAATCGTAGAAATTGCATATAGAAGAAGGGGAACAGCAGTGATCGCTAGGATATCATTCCACAAGCCCTCAAGGAGCAATAACCTCTCCAAAGTCTAAATTTACTTGCTGGGCATGGAAAGGCTCATGAATAAATCGCTGATCAGAAAATGGATCGAACGTGATGCTGTGAAGAAATATACACCTTAGAATGGATATGCTCGCAACTTCCTCTATGCAGCTGTAGCCTCCAATGCAAAGATTTTGATTGATTTTTGGCGTCGTATAAGGAGAGTTAAAGGAAGCCCTGCAAGCACCTAGCACTCTTAGCAACCTGAAAGAACAAGTCTCTAAACCACCATCAATTAACCTAGCTCGTTTGCCGTAAAAAGGGCCCCTTGTATCTAAGAAGATGTACAAGAATCCTTGTCGCCAGATCTAACGTGTAATAGATGACCATAATGTAGAAATATTCCAACCTTACATGGAATGAGTGCGCCTAAGCGTTAATACAACGTAAATTTTGTGCTTTCCCTAGTAAGTTCAATAAGACACATGTTAAAGCGAAAATAAATAAGTTAGCCTACTTTACCTGGTTTGTCTCATCGACAATTTTCTGCGTCTCATATCAAATATCGATCAGATATAGAACGACAAGCAAAGAGCTACACCAGTTGCTTGCCTACTACTGTAAAATCCGTAAATTGAGATAACAGAGACAAAAGCATTAATGCTAAGATTTGCTGAGTGAACATGACGGAAACCATAGATATTGCCACAAAACCGCGAGCCAAGTATGTCGTTGATTCATAAAATCTTGTAAAATTTCCACACTACAAACTCTTTCCCATAAACTTCCTCTTTGTGAAACTCAGCCACCATTTGCTAGGCTTATCGGTGCCATCTTCATATATACGAGCAAGTAGCCGGTTTGATAACTCCTGCCTGAGTTGAGACATATATTGGCGCAGTGTTTCAGCCTCATGATTGTTTGATGGAGGATTGAAAAGCTAATTGAGTAAGTATTCTACTCCAATTTCTAATGTCGCGAAGTTTCTCGTAGGAGCTGTACCTGATTCAAAGGAAATCCAGGATCTCCAGGTATGGCAAAATTGAGGTCAAGTGCAATACTTTGAATTTCTTTTTGTGCCTCTCTACAGTAAGTGAGTATAAATTACTAGAAGACAAGTATTTGAGTCTTAAAGAACCCAATTATTGTAGGCTTGAACTTCAAGACCAATTTAGTGGCAGAGGTTTAATATATCTCGCATCCGCATCTCCGAAGCTCGCGGCCTCCGAGATAGGAATTCTAGCCAGGACTTCGGACACAATCTCAGGCATTGACCAGGGAAATTTTGGCGTACCTCGCACTTGCACTTGGGCGTATTTTTCCTAAGCATTCACTTATCCAAAGGATCCCGTAAATTAACAGGCGATCGGCCGGCCCTTGAATCTCGAAGTTACGAAAGAATGTATTGGCGCGAAATAGACTTAGGACTTCATCCAAAGCATCGTAACTCTCATCATTGGGTTCAGGGGATAGATGTGCTGCGAGGTTTGAGGGTGGAAGCGTACTGGCCGGCCCACGAACCCGTGTGCGGAGTGGCAAAAGCGGAAACTTTCCAATGTTGATTGTATTTGGAGGTGAACTATCCTCATTGAATATACTGTTGTATGCCTAGCAAATAGATCAACTTGAGCTTTAGAAAAAGAAGGAAAGGGTGTGGGGTCGCTGCACATATACTTACTGGCATGTTTATCGAGTAATTCAAGGGCTAACTCTTTAATGATAAATCTCCTAGGACAGATAGAAAGCGCGAAGGGCAACTTTTAGACGAGAAAGGCAGATAGGATTGAGTTGCAGTGCCATCAAGTCGTCTGAATAACTGGTAGCCTGGCCCGTGCGGAACGATCCATTTTCATAACTCATTGTTCAATGTTATGACTCACTCAGCTGAGGCCATGGAGGCTGTTCATTCAGAAATTGTCGCAAGCGTTGCCAGCGAAAGAAAAACATACATCTATGTGTAGCTATCTAACTGTGATATACAGGCCCTATGTTGTGTTAATGATATATGATTCTTCGCAGCTCAAAGACACTAATGCTCTGGAGTCCATCGGCAAAAACCACCATAAAGTTCCCAAATTTAATAAGGCAATTAGTTTTGGTTAAGTCAGATTACAATTAGATTCACTTCAATCTATAATCACACAGAATTTATTGGTTCTATCAATCTTCAGGTTTAGGATTCCCTGGACTCCTACACAGATCTTTACCAATATGGCTACTACTCTCAAGTCCAAATTCTGCTATGCCCCGTAAGGACCTTTTTTAATAATTAATTCAGTTGTGTAAGTAGACTTAAGTCTGTTATGCTGGGGTGCAGTTCATAGGCAAGATGCAGATCAATAACAAGGATATGGAACTTACTAATTGCGCACATGAGTGCGTTGAAAAAGATACTAGGATAGCCTCATGTAATTGTTGGGGGTGACAAGGGTTCACAGAGAGAGGTACTAAAATCAGACTCTCTTAGCAATATAGAGGAGAAAGGAGGAGGGCAAGACTGAACACCTGTACACGGTGTCCTCTACGAACCTGGAAGTGAAATATTCTTCCAGAGCCAAGTTCCATCAAATTTCGCAATACCGAACAAGTTGGCCCACGAGGCAATGATTCAAAATACTCCAACATATCAATCTTTCACTCCCAACGAGATCGATTCCTACCTAAGCCTCATCAAGTCTACAAGTACGACCTAGTACATCCTCATTCCAATGACCACACCTCTTTTCGACTTTCTCTGGCCTCAGCTGGTCGCCAGATACACGCCCACGCCGATATTTACACCCGACGGAAGAAGCAAAGCATGGCGCACAAACCTGGAAGACAGTTCCTTGGGATGGATGTGAGAGGGATCAGGACAAGTTGATAAGATGATGCAAAGTATTGGATACAGTCTCGACGGGCGTGGAATTTTGAGTTTTGGAAAGGAGTTTTTACAAATTGAGCTTTGTGCATGCCAAGTCTTAGGCTGCGAGAGTGCAGGCGACACTATAAACACCGCCATGGTTGGATGGTGCGGTGGTACATCGTCTTGGTCGGTCTGCCAAGTAAGGTTTGGATAGCGTGGACACATATCCCACTTGAGACAGTAGATCGCTAGTTCAAATCCGGCAAGACACAACCACATTTCTCGCGGCGCTGGTATGCATGGACGACGAAGGCATGCTTGGATAACTAAAGGTTTTTAATTTCCCTTTGGTGGGTACTAACGGAGGAGGGTCGACTGTTCGTGTAAGCGAACATACCTCATAGTGGTATTTGCGAATGAAATCCAGAGTATGAGTGTCTCTAAGGTCAAAAGAGTCATCCCACATGTATACACAGCACCGGTCATGTGTCATAGCTAGATAGCTGAATACACATCAAATGATTTAAAAATAAAAAAAATAAAAAGAGGAGAAAGGAGGGAAAAGTCGAAAGCTGACGGAGGCATGTCTGGATAACTCAGGGTTTTAGAGACGTTCCCCTGAGTGGGTATTCACAGATGAGGGTTGACTTGTGGTGAAGAAAAAGCCGCCATAACTTCGCAGTGGTACTTGCAAATGAAATCTGAGGCATGAGTGCTCTTGCCTTACGTTGAATCATCTTTTCTATACTTTTCTTTGATATTGTGTCATAGCTAGATAGCTGCATACGCAATTAAAATCTGATGCAAAAAAAAAAAAATAAGTAGTCCCGACCGACTGGTGTTTAGCGAACGGAGATTGCATATACCCTATGTTAGCGTCTTTTTTTTTGCATCAGATTTTAATTGCGTATGCAGCTATCTAGTTATGACACAATATCAAAGAAAAGTTTTTTGAAATTCGAATTTTCGAATCTTCACCTTTTCCCCCTCTCCCTCTCTCTCGCGCTCGTCGCATTCTATCAAACAATTGTGATCGAGTCACTGGCATTTTCACCATGCCACCTGTTCGAAAAAAGCGTCCCAACGCTAAGTTGGACAACACGAGAGTCCACCCGAGGGCTCTCGAACAAATACCTGGCCTTGCCCAGTCTCCGAAATGCGCGGAGATAAGAAAGGTCTCAATCAAAGGGAACGAAAAAGCCCTCCCCGCCGTCACTGAACCCGACACTGACATGATCGGGTCAGTCGAAATTGTTGAGAAAATTCCTCCACCACCCTCCGTCCCCCACGGGATTGGAGAATCATCCAAACCACCTCCGACCGTGTCAAAACCGTCGGAAAACGCTGCACCCATAGCAGCGTCAAAATCAACGTCGCAGCCAAAGGCTGCCACAAAAGCAGAGTGTCCCCTCGAGCTCCGACCAATAGTCGAAGCTGAACAACGACGCGCCGCCGAAATAGCGGCAAATCTGGCCCTCTGCTCCGCCGCCATCTCTGGCGTCGAAGCAACCCTTCTCCCTCTGACCAACGGGTCAAATAGACAATTCGTAGACTCCATGAGAGTCTACTTACGCGCCGCCATTGCGCAATACATGGCCACGTGCCCGGCCACTACGCCACCGGTTCTCCCTCCTCGCCTGACGAACCCTCTCCCAAGGGTTCCCGACGCCAGGAGCCAAACAATACCCACCGTCCCAGCTCTGCCCGTCAAAAGCACTTGGGCCACGATGTCTAGAAACGGACTGCGACAGAAAGCAGTCCCAACTGCAAAGGCTGTCCCGCAACCTGCGGCAAAAGCCCACCAAAAAGAAACCCCCAAGGCGAAAGTCGACAAGCGACTGTTCTTTCGTCTTGAAAAGGACCACCCGTGGCGAAAACTGTCCACAAATTGCGTGAGAAGTAAATTGGAGATGAGATTCCTTTTCTTTCACGATAAAATAACCTCGCTTCATCGAGTGAGGACCGGCTTTGCTATGCTAGCAAAGGACGAAAAAACACGACAAGAGATGCTAGATGGCTCTTCGAAGCTGGCAAGTGAAAACGCCAAACTCGAGGCATCTTCAGATCTTGTAGCCTTACAGATACCCAACGTACCTGTATGTATAATCACGGAGCGAGGCTCTATGGCGGTCGATTCCGAGTGGGTCTTCGACAAGATCGCTGTTATGACCGGCGCACTTCCAATACACGTCCGACCTCATGGGACGTGTCGACCTGGGGCACCGTACCGAAACTGGCATGCCCTTTTCGACCGGTAAGTCGCCCCTCGTGCGGGCTTCCGCCTCTTCGACGAGTCTGGTAGGGCTACCATACACAAGCCTGGTCGCCACATTGTACAGTGTAAATGCTGTTTGGGCTTCCACGCCACTCGTGGTTGCTCCCGCGCTCCAGCCTGCTGGAACTTTGGATCAACTATGCACTCGGAAGCCGAGTGCAGGGCCCTCACAAAGTGTCGTAACTGTGGGAGACCTCATCGATCGGATTTTCGGGACTGCCAAGTCAGACCCAGAAAGTCCGGACCGGTGACAAAAGAGCAGCTCGCGTGGATACGCCACCTCGAGCAAGGGAAGTTCGCGGAGGCGGCTCAAGCTAGGGCTGCAGCCAAAAAGGCCGAAGAAGCAATTGTCGCCACGGTGAAGGATGTCGCAATGGCCGGGGCAACAGGTTTCGGAGTGCTGGGATCTGAAGAAGAAGTTTGAGGACACAACAACCTCGACGATGTCCCCTTCTGGGGCATCTACTAACAATTAGCAGAATACCGGCTGGATCAAAGGTGCCTACTAACTCATCTTTCGCTCTCATCATAGAAGTAGTAAAATTGTCATTTGGAAGGTGTGATGGACGACGGAATGTGTGAGGAGCATATTGACTGGGTCCATTATGGATGAATCTTCTGTTCTTTCGGAGTTGTTTTGATTTTCTTGATTTTTCGTTTCAGTTTAATCAGCTGCAATTTTGGTAGCGATTCAAGAGGTTGGAACGAGTTAGGCTGTAGGAAAGATTACAGGGAACCCTGCCGGCTCCGCCTGTCCTTGACCCAATGTGGAAAACATAACTTTAGCTTAGGACAAAATAAACAAAACAAAACAAACAATATCAAAGAAAAGTACAGAAAAGATGACTCAATTTACAAGAGGAGCACTCATGCCTCAGATTTCATTTGTAGGCACCACTGCGAAGTTATGGCGGCTTTTTCTTCACCCCAAGTCAACCCTCATCTGTGAATACCCACTCAGGGGAACGTCTCTAAAACCCTGCGTTATCCAGACATGCCTCTGTCATCTTTCAACTTTTCTCTGCACGAAATATGATCTGAGATGTCTACTTCCCAAGTGGAGTAGGTGCCCAGGCTACTCAGACTATACCGGAGAATACCACCAGGAGGCGGACCACGGCACCTTCCATCGTTTGCTTGTATTTATAGTGGGACTACTTATTATCGAGCCTAGTAGGACTGACAAAGTGTATCCCAATTGTCATAGCTAGATAGCTGAATACAATATGATTCAAAAAAAAAAAGTGTATCCCAACACATAAATAGTAGGAAACTCAACAACCAAACCCTTCATCAATAAATGCCATTAAGCACCATCTGACTTATCTCTGTACTCCATAATTTCAACACATTATATAATTAATACTTGCTACCTCTTCGTGAATATATATTTGATAGTTGTATACAGTTGAATTATAAGAGCCTTGGTCATACATAAATATCCCCGCAACATAATATAACGGAGTTAT